GAATATTCAAATGCAAAAGAGATAAGTTTGATCTTTTTAATCACATTTTTGCACATGACCTTCTTATGTCAAACATAATCATTATAGAAGTTGTACGATTATTTCTAATGACTTTGAAAGCAGGTAGATACATATACGCACTTTGAATATTCAAAATTGGAATGCTTGCATCGCTCGCTCTTTCTAGCCGAATTTCGCGAAGTTGGTGAACACTGAACGCGCGGTACCGCGTGACTGATTTCCTATAATACCTTCTTCGCGTCTCCCAAAGAAACCTAACTTGGCGGAAACGAGAAGCGAGTTCTCCCATCAACAAGTCCCTCGACGAGCGTGAGAAACAACAAAAATTTAGGAGATCGAGCAGCTCGTACTACTTTTTGGACGGTCAAAAGACGCGCATCTATCTCTAAGCAGTTGAACTGGTAACCTTGGCGTTATATCCCGTGCCACCTTGTGGAGCCTCGCACGTTGCCAGCTACCGTCACACTCGACTATCCTCCATAAGAGATCCCTCAGATCGGCACCGTCCAATCGACTCATGTACTATTCATGCACCAGCGAGCGCGCAGTTTTCATAGCGCACAGCTCGTGTCAGCTCGCATTCGCGGGAACGGACAGGTAGGTTAAGCTCGGTCACTCGCACGCACTCGTACGTGCTTGTACACGCGCACGATCAATCTCGCGAGCGCCTTTTCTTCCTTCGGGATTATCCGACGACGACGACGACGACGACGACGACGACGACGACGACGACGACGACGACGACTGACGACGACGACGACGAGGAATCGGAACGCGGGACACGAGCAAAGAGAAAGACAACGGTAGCGACGTCTCCCTCCCTCTTTTTCTCTCTCTTTCCCTCTCTATTTTTTTCTCTCTCTCGTCTTGATGAAGACACGGTAGAAGACAGGAGAAGCGCGAGTCGCTGTCACCGCTGATCACCGCGTCACGACATCGTCTGCGAGCGTTCGCGCGCGCTCCACGTGCTGCTCCGCCTGTCACCCGATGCTGGCGAACTGCTCCGCAAATACGACAGCAGCGGTGACGACGACGACGGCGATCTCGCTCGCTGGCCGCGAAAGTAGGTTTTGACAGTCATCCGCAAACAGACGAGTACCAGTACTGCCAACCACTAGCGCTTCTCGTCCCCTTCACGTCGTGGCGTACCGTTACGTCACGGAAGCACGACATCATCTGCGCGCGTGCGCGTGCCGCGTATGACGATTGGAGTAACCTCAAATTCTCTCTAATCTCCAATTTTGCGTTCTTGGACCTGGGTCCTGCGGCAATGAAGTCGCCAATGGATCGCCAGTCTTTTGTTAAAAACATAATTTCAATGATTTCAAGTCAGCTGGACCATCCGATCCCAGTCTCCTTGTCAGGAATATGTGTAAGGATAACCTAACCTAACTTCAGTTTTCGCCGATCATCTCGCCGTGTTTACGCTTTTTTCTCTCTTTGCGAAGATAAATTCGCGATAATCTGGTCAGGGCAAATCAAATGCTGAGTACGAACGAACAGTTTCTTATTGGTACATATGATTAGCAGAAAATCTAACTTAACATTAAAACTCCGCATGTTCGTTGCGAGATGTGATCAAAATTTATCAATAAACAGTGATAATCTCGTTGGGAAAATAAGACCTGCAGATTTTATTTTATCCTCGATCACATGAATTACGTCAGTGTTCACAGTTGAGTTTGTTGATCCCGTTACATCATACAAGACTGAACCTCAAAGATCTAATCTCAAATTGTATTGTGACTACGTATAGTCATATCTTTTCCGCAGAATTGAAATCATTGAAAAATATTCAAGAGATATCTTCTCGTTTTTAACATTTTGAATAGTGCATCATGAAACTTTTAATAAAAGGACAAACAACATCTGATTCGAGTTTTTGCATGTATCCTTGAATTCAACTCTGATCCACATGAACAATGTCTATGAATTGAATTTGCTCGTTCATCTTTGGATTTGTATGACTTTCGCTCTATTCGACGATTTTTTGCAATAAGTTTTATACTGAAACTGAATCTGAGTTTTTCCTCGAAAAATGAGAAAGATCGCATTGTCGTGATCGACCATTTGCGAGGTTATTTTTTATTTATAAATATTTCGGACCCGTTGCCAATTGGGACTTAGTCTAAATGTTTCTCCTTGACATTTCACGACATCGCGAGATTATTTCAAACCTGTCTGTTGCAAATGTCATAGGTTTTCTTATTCCAATATATAAATTTATTATTATATCCATAGATCTCTATAGCATTTAAAGCGAATCTACTTATTATAAATGCTCTGATTTTCTATATTTTAGATCTATATTAAAATAATAACAATAAAAAATTAATGAAACATAGGAAATGCAAGTAATATGTGTATGATGAATATAAGCATCTGTTCTATTTTATAGAGTTTTTAATTGACACAATTGGAGGATTTGATTTGAGTTAAAGATTAAATCTTTTAAAGAATTCATTTTCAATTGAACACATAATTTGGATATTATAATAAGCTATAACTAAGATGCTAATCTGACTTTCAAATAAATTGAAGAAGCAACATTATATTTTATTTTCGATGACAGAATCATATTTTATTTTAAACATGCAAAGTATAACTCAGCATAGTACACATAGTAAAAAGTACACACTTTGTGTCATCTGCTCGTGATAACGTCATCGTCCGAATCAATAAAACTGCTAAAATACTTCAGTAAGATTGCCTCTCATTGCTGAAAAACTTATTCAATTATGTGAAAGAATCATAATGACAAAAAATGGATGAAATGGTAATACGGGTGTTATACGGAAGCGAGACCGGAACCGCTCAAGACGTTGCCGAACAAATCTGGAAGAGCGCCAAAAGGTTTGTTATTGTTCCTCTTTGGCACATAAACCTCCTCTGAAAAAATTTCTGGCATGCGAACCTCATGTCTTTAAATGATGTTTTAACAGATGACTTTTATTCTTAATGTCGATTATTTTTCTTATAATTAGCTTCATT